CTCAGTGCCAGCTGTCCAGTTCTGTTCTGCCCACTGTTGGATGAAACAGATAGAATGCAGTTTTAGGCAATGCCTTTGTCCCTTTCACACCTGTGTCCTGTCCGGGCCAAAGACGCTTTTCTGTTGCAGCTCTTGCCTGTTCACTGTGTGCTAGAGACCCACACTGTACAGCTTCACGAACGAGGTCCAATGTGTGCACTCAAACACGGTGCTCCTTTTTAAAGATTGGCCCTGAGCTAACATCTGTTGCCAGTCTTTTTGGGTTTTTTCTTCTTCTCCCCAAAACCCCCCAGTACATAATTGTATATTCTAGTTGTATCTCCTTCTGGTTCTGCTGTGTGGGACGCCACCTCAGCGTGGCTTGATGAGTGGTGCTAGGTCACACCCGAGATCCGAACTAGTGAAACCCTGGCCCGCTGAAGTGGCCACTTGGCCACGGGCCTGGCCCCCAAAGCAGGTTCTTTTTAATGTAAACACTTGTTTGCCCTGACAGAGTAAAGCGTAGTTCGTTTTTAAGCGTCATTAAATTAGGCAGATATAGTGGTTGCAGTTCGTTGTTTCAGTGAAGAAAATTTGATTCCGTTATCCACCCAGCTGTGTGCTTCAAGGTGGGAAGAAGGGTGGAAGCCTTGTCACATAGGCACAGTCTTTCAAGCAGTTTGATGCCACTTGAACATCTCACACCTCGGTTTGCAAAGGTTCTTTTTTAGTTCTCCCCCGATTGCCAGAAGTATCTGTTGTACGTCTTCTCACAGTGCAAATCATGCCCAGAGAAAGAATGTCCTTTGCTTGTAGGAAGACTATGGTGCAGAAGGAAGGATCGTGGGAGAGGGCGGCGTGCGAATGAAGGAGGAACCAGGAAAGTCCACATTTGGCACTGTGGGCCTCTGTGGGTCATTCTTCTGGGCATATATGGACAGGGTAGCAGAACCATTAGGAATTTCAAGATCCTAGAGGAAACATAATCCTTGGACTCTAAAAGAAGGCACATTGGGGCCAGCTCTGGTGGCCTTGTGGTTAAATTTGGCACGCTCCACTTTGGTGGCCCAGGTTTGTGGGTTCGGATCCTGGGCACAGACCTACACCACTCGTCAGCCATGCTGTGGCAGCAACCCACATACAAAATAGAGAGAGATTGGTACAGATATTAGCTCAGGGCTAATCTTCCTCAAGCAAAAAAAGAGGAAGATTGGCAACAGATGTTAGCTCAGGGCTGATCTTCCTCGGCAAAAAATACAAGAAGGCATACTGATTTGGAGGGAGAAGGTGGATTGACTAGGATTTATTTGCCTGTTTAAATGTGTCATAGAGCATGTGATGGCATAGACATTGGGAGCTAGCAGCAGAGTTTGTAAATGGAAGGAATATGGGCAAATAAGAAGAAGTTAGATGGAGCAGATAGTGTGAACTTTCATATTAACAGCAATACCTTCTACTTAGCTCTGTGTGCCAGCCCCGTCCTAAATGTTAAACGTGTTGTCTGATGAAATGTAGTATCTGCTACTGTAGGTCTGTGGGCTGAGGCCCTGCGTTTCCGCCCAGCTCCTGGTTGGTGCCCATGTGCTGCCCTTCAAGGGTCCAGAGCAGCACGTTGGAGTCACCTGGGAAGCTTAAAATACTGCTGCCTGAGCCTCACCGCCCTGCGAAACTCTGACTTAGTTGTTCCTGGGTGCAGCCTGGTGTGCAGAGTTTTTCAAGTTCTCAGGAGATTGTAATGTGCAGCAAAGTTTGAGAACCGCTGGGTTAAAGAAAGAAGAGGGAAGAGAGAAGTAGTGGTCAAACCTCGCTGGATGTTTCTGAGATAATCAGAGGCAATCAGAGCGGAAGAGTTTTGCTGTGTTTGTGAATTGTTGTGTTCAGTTTGAGAGGGTACTTCTAAGGAAATTTTCCTCAAAGATGTGTATTCATATGTGGTCCCCTCTCTTACAAGGAACGGGAAGTGGTTGATGTCTGTAATTATGATTGTTTTAAATTCAGCGTGCACAGGACGTTTTTTAGACAGTTTGGGTTTCTACCCACTCTGCAGTATTGTTGTTGTTGTTGGGGTTTTTTTTGGTGAGGAAGATTAGCCCTGAGCTAACATCTGTTGCCAATCTTCCTCTTTTTTTTCTCCCCAAAGCCCCGGTACATAGGTATATACCCTAGTTGTAAGTCATTCTAGTTCTTCTATGTGGGACGCTGCCTCAGCATGGCCTGATGAGTGGTGTGTAGGTCTGCGCCCAGGATCCAAACCAGTTAACCCCCGGCTGCTGAAGCAGAGCATGTGAACTTAACCACTCAGCCATGGGGCCGGCCCCCAGTATTGCTTTTTATGGAGAAAAGTCATAATGTTGTGCAACTGGCAGTAGTTTCGTAATTTTCTTTAGCACGTCTTTTCTCTTTGGATGACCCTGAGTCTAGCATGCTTGGGCTTAGAATTTCATTGAAATTTATTTTTTTGTTTTCCCTGTCTGGACCTTTTAAAGTGCGCGTGATCAGAATCATTGTAGCCTGTTAGAATAAGGCTTTGTGTTAAAAGATAGCTGAAGAAAAGTAAATATCATCTAACAGAAAATCAGGGGGTTATTTTTGGGTTCAGTTTATCCTTGGGAATATTTTCTTAATAAGTAGATAAAAGCATGTTTCCAGACCATTTGCACGGTTTTCAGATATCCACCGAGTGCCTCCTGCAGGCTGGGCCCCGGGGATACAGCGTGAACAGGATGGCCTAGGTCTTTGCAAAGACCTCAGGAACCTCAGTTTCTTGGGAAGGGAACCACAGTAACCAATAGACAGAAACGTCCCCGCCTCTTCAATGCTAAGAAGAGAGTAAGGAGGGATGCAATAGAAAGTACGGGCTGGGGAAGTCCTTGACATGAGAGCCCAGGGAAGGACTCCTAAATGAGGTTTTGCTGAGACCCGAAGTGTGAGGAGCCAGCTTTTGAGTCAGAGGGACAGCAGACGCCGACTCCCCAAGGGTGGGAAAGAGTTTGACGTACTTGGGGATCAGAAGGGAAGTCCTGGCTGCACCGGGATGGGAGGGGGCAGTGGCAGCAGATGAGATGGAGCTTGTATGTTCCTATGGAGAGACAGACCTGATGGAGCTGCTTCGGGAATGTTGACATTGTTACCGTTAAGCTTTTATTGTCATTGTACTTTTTTTGCATTTACAAAATTTTCTCTAATGAACATACTTTAGATTTGCAACTGAAAAAAATTTATACTCTTTTAAATAGTTAAATTTGCTCTTCTTTTGCAGAAAATAACCAACATTTTTACATCCTGGTAAAGAATTTCAGGTTATTTTGGCTTATATAATTGTACTATTGCAGTACAATTGTTTTGTTTCTCGGAGTCCTTGCATTTGAACTGATTCTTCATGCACCCCCCAACCTCACCGCCCCCCCCCCCCCCCCCCCCCCCCCCCCCCCCCCCCGCTGCCAGTTTATTTTCTAGTGTTCAGCATGTTTTTGATGCAAAATAAAAAGGTCTGTATCTGCATGAATGATTGGTTATTGCTGTTGCTTATAATTCAAGTCTCAGGTTTTGAGCGTGGGTATCTTGAGTCTTGCTGTGTGAAGACAGGCTGTGGTGCTGCTGTGCTGTTTCTGTCAGGGTTCAGTGGTTGCGGAAATGAGAACGCACTCAGCAGCTGTGTTCAGAAGGAATGCCGCAGACCCCTGGGATAGGAAGGTGTGGCCAAGAATGCGAGATCTCTTTGATTTTGTCTCCACCACTTACCAACCTGTGACTTTGAGCAAGTTACTGCCTCTCCCCAAGCCTTACCTGTAAACGTAACAGTGAAGGGTTTAAGAGTGCTGAAGTGTGTGGGCTCTCTTGAAGATTCCGTGAGGGAGTGCCTGGTGGCACCTGCTTTGCTCTCAGCACGAGTGGGGCACCAGGGCCGCATGTCCTGGAGACACTGCCGGCACCAGCTGCGCATGTCAGCCCTCCCCCCACACACACACCACCGACTGGATTGCCCACGCTTTTACACCTCTTTGAGTGTGGCATACAAAAAGAAGTGCACAGGTTGGAAGATGAATCATCAGAGGGAACTGCCCTGTAGCCACAGTCTACGTCAAGAAGTAGCGTGGCCAGCACCCAAGAAAGTCCCTGCCGGCCCCTCTCGGTCACCTTCCGCCTCCCCCGAGTTCGCAGCGTGCTCAGTCCTAGCCCAGCTTACTCTCGCCTGCCTGTCAGCTGTGCGTCAGTGGGGCCCTGGGGTCTGTTCTTCCTGCGTCTGGCTCCTTCAGCTCAACGTTATGTTTGAGAGATGCTCCCTGATGTCGTTTGTCCGTTTTCATTTTGTATAATGTGCTGTTACATAAATTTATTTCCCTTCTGCTGTGGGTTGTTTCCAAGTCGGGGCTCCCGTGAATAGTGTGTTATTAGAACCTTCCTGAACGTTTTTGGTTCCTTCTGTGTGTACACATTGTTGAGTGTTCTACCTAGGGGCGGATTTGCCGTCTCACAGGGTGTGTATGTCCCGCCTTAGTGAATAACACTAAAAAGTTTTCCAAAGTAATTGAACCAATTTGTGCATTTTTGTTTTTTACTCCAAAGTACTCTTAAATTTTTATTTAGTAATTCACAGAAACTATTTTCTCAGTTCAGTGAACACAAAAATATTCTAGAACACGATTTCCAAAATGTGGAATTCTAGTCCTACCAGAGGCTCTGAAAATTAAAATAGGTTCTTTGTTCAGATAAATTTGAGAAACGTTGCATTATGTATCCTCTTCTCAGAGAATGCACATTAATATATTAAAAACTGTGAAAAGCCTTCCATTAAAAATAGAGTAGTTTGTTTGTTTGAATGATTTCCAATTTTTTTGGTCCACAGAGCCCTTGTGAGGCTGGAACCCCCGTAGATAAGCCCCAGATGCAGCCTGTGGTTGGCGGCCCGAGAGGCAGCCGTCCGGGGCTGCGGTCAGTTCTGGGGCTTAGTAATTGAGATGCTGGTCACTTCTCCGAGGATGGCAGTTCTATTTGATGGTTAGAGCATTGGCACACTTGATAATCTGGAAGCTGACAGCCTCTTTTGTCTGTGGAGGTTTCTGGGCTCTTCTGTTATTGGGATGTTTCTTCAGCTCTTGTGGGTCAACTACAATAGCAGATTATTGCAAATATATCCTATGTAACAATGGATACTGTGTATCCAGAAGAGATTCTGGGTGCCAGTCCTTTATCTGTTGTATTATCTTCTCTGAGTCTGTGGCTCATTTTTGAGCGGTGTGTTTTGGTGCCTTGTCCTGTAAGTACTTTTATATTTTAATGTGACCCAGTGTATTTCTCCTCTCTTGTATGGGATATGCTTTTTGTGACTTGTTTGCAAAGGCTTTTCCCACACAAAGGTCACAAATACATTGTGCTATATTTTCCTGCAGTAATTTTAGTTTTGCTTTTTTTTACATTTAGTTATTTTATACACCTGGAATTTCATTTTGGAAATAAACATGAATACAATTTTACTTATTCCACATTTATTCTGAAACCTTTCGTTGAATCCTTTCCCCATGGCCATCTGTCAAGTCCTTGTGTGCGTGGCTCTCTCTCTGGCCTTGCTCTTCAGTTGTTTGATCTGTGACTCTGTTTTAATTACGGAGGATTTAAACCCAATCCGTGGCCACGCCCCAGCTTCATTCTGTTTTCCAAATTGTGTTGGTTATTCCCAGATGATTAAGTGCCTTTCGTAACCCTGTGAATGTATTGACTAACTCGTGCAAGTGGAATCTTTCCATGTACGTTTTCTTAGCCCTGAATCCGTTATCTCTCCTGTGTATTCACATCTTTTTTTATATTCTTCAGAAAAGTTTTTGAGTTTTCCACATCATTTTGTTAGCTTTATTTGACACTGTAGTTTTTATTGCTGTTGTGTTTTTCCTGTTAGATTTTTATTTGTTTTTTTTTATTGTTTCTGATTTGTCGGTGAGCTCCTATCCAGCATCTTGGTAAACTTATTAGTTTTTACACATTGTCCTTTTCCCCTTGAGATTTATATGTAGGCGATTGTATACTAGAAAACAGTGGTGCTTTTTCCTCTTCCTTAGCCATTTCTGCGTCTCACCTCCTCTTCCCGATCCAGTGGCTGGTGAGGCTGTCTGGGACCATGCTGAGTGGTAGAGGCCGTAGCTGGTGACATTGTCTTCTTTCTGACTTTAATGGGAATGCTTCTGAAGTTTCATCATTGAGTTTGCTGTAATTTCTTCAACAGGTTAAAGAACTTCCCTTCTATTCTTAATATTTGTGTTTTAATAATCATCCTTATTGGGTTTTTTTGCTTTTCACTAGTGTCTGCTTTATTATTCTCTCTATTTTCTTTGTAATAACATTGGAATTTTTTTTTTAACTTCTTGAGCTAAGTACTCATCGCGTTTATTTTCAACTTATTTTTTAAAAACGTATTATTTGCTATGCTAAATGAAAGAAGCCAGACTCAAATATCTGCATTCTGTATCATTCCATTTATGTACCATTCTGGTAAAGGCAAAACTATAGAGAGAAAAAACTGACCAGCGGTTATCTGGCAGAAGGGGGAAGGGTTGACGTTAAAGGGATGCTAGTAAAATTTTTATTGTGATGATGCTGTTTTATATGTTGATTGTGCCAGTGGTTACATGAGTGTCATAACTTACAGAACAATGCAATAAAAAGAGTGAGTTGTACTGTATGTAAGTTATATGCCAGTAAAAAAAGTCAAGTGGATACAAAAAGTGTGGATAAAGGGGAACTGGCCTGGTGGCACAGTGATTAAGTTCAGATGCTCAGCTTCAGTGGCCCAGGGTTCACCAGTTCAGATCCCGGGCATGGACCTATGCGCCACTTATCAAGCCATGCTGTGGCAGTGTCCCACAAAAACAAAATGGAGGAAGATGGGCATGGAGGTTCTCTCAGGGCCAGTCTTCCTCAGCAAAAAGAGGAGGCTTGGCTGTAGATATCAGCTGAGGGCTAATCTTCCTCAAAAAAAAAAAAGGAAAAAATGTATATAAAGGTAATTAAAAAGGTAGATTATTTTTAAAAGGTTATTAATTTTCTGCAAGGACTTGCTGTAGTTACGGCCAGTGCATTTTTGCATGTAGCACTTTTTTTAATAGGGAAAAAGTTTTTTGTTTTGAATTTTAATATATTCAAGTGTTTTAAAAATCAAAATAATATAAAAAATAATATATGTGAGAAAGTAATATTACTTAAGTAATATTAAGTAATATAACAATAATATCAAAAGGGGTGCTCTCACCCCTTTTTTGACCCTCCCCATTCCTCACTGCCTACTACACTTGTGTGTCTTTCCATTGTTTTTTTCATGCATATACAAATATATATTTTTATTTCCTCTTCCTTTCTAACACAAAAGTTAGCACATTATGAACATTGTTCTGTATCTCCTTCACTTACTATATTCTAGAAATCTTTCTACGTCACTACATAGAGAATGTCCTCATTCTAACAGCTGCATAGTATTCCATTGTGTGGATGTTTCATGGTTTATGTAAGGAATCCCTCATTAATGACCCCTTGGGTTATTCCTAATTGTTTGCTATAACAAACAATGTTTCAGCCAATACCCTTATATACATTCATCATTTTACACATATGTAGCTATGTCTAAAATACATTCCAGGAACAAAATTACTGATAAAAGAGTGGATATGTTTGTGGTTTGTGTAAGTATTTCCAAATTGCCCTCCAGAGAGGTGTTGTCATTTTATACTCCACCAAAAATGTGTGAGGGAACTTTTTTCTTTTCTCAATTCTCTTTACTTTCGATTACTGAAATATTTTAAAGTAAATACAGATATTTGACATTCCATTCCAAATATATCAGTGTATGACTCTTAAAAATAGGAAAATTAAAAAACTTTTTAAATTGTTTTTAACAGCTTTATTGAGGTATAATTTACATACTGAAAAGTTATTTCGTTTTAATTGTACAGTTCAAAGATTTTTACTAAATTTACAGAGTTGTGCGAGCATCACCACAATCAAATTTTAAAATATTTCTTTCACCCCAAAAATGTCCTTCATGTTCATTTGCAGACAGTCCTTGGTCCCACCCCTAGGCGACCACTAGCCTACTGTGTGTAGACTTGCCTCTCCTGGACATTGCGTGTTCGTGGAGTCTTACCATGTATGGTCTTTGTGTTCGGCTTCTTTTCCTTAGCATAGTGTGTTTGAGGTTCATCCTTGATCTGAATTCTTACAACTGATGCTGGTTATGGCCTGTACTGGTGCTTTGTTTCTTTTTATACCTGAATAATATTCCAGGTGTGAATAGATTACATTTATTTATCTGGGAACATTTTATTTTGTACCCAGTTAATGTTATCACACCTAACAAAATTAATAATCCTCCAGATCACCTAATATCTGGATTGTCTTCAGACTTCTCCAGGATCCAGTCCAGGACCATACTCTGCAATTGTGCATGTCCCTTAATCTCTTTTAATCTAGAGCCATCCCTTTTTCAGGGTATTGACTGGCTGAAGACACCATGCTGGTTGCCCCATAGAGCACCCCACTCCTGGATTTGTCTGCTTGCTTCCTTGTGATGTTCCTTAGCTTGTTCTTGTATCCGCTGTATTTCTTGTAAAACTTGAGTAGATTCCAGTTAAACGTTTTGGCTAGGATGCCTCAGAGATGATATTGTACACTGCACGTTGTATCTCATTAGGAGACACACAGTGTGTGTTTGTTGCACCATTTGTAATACTAAGATTGATGATCGGGTGAGGGTGGTGGCACTCTGATTCCTCCAGTATGAAGTTTATATTTTTTCAGTCCTTGCAAGTGGAAAGTAATCTTAGTAGTATTACTTTGGCACCATACAGATGTCCAGTTCTCAATCAATCTTTCATTTTCTGATCAAAACACTTATTGATAATCATTGCCTGAATGAATAATTTTATAGAGGTTGCGAAATGATAGTTTTCTTAATCTGACATTCCACCTGCATTTATAATTGGCATTTTTCTATAAAGAAGAGCATTTCCTTTTCATTTGGAGCTATTTGCCGCCTCTGAACTATAGATCATTATTTAAAGCAGGAAAAAATAGTTTGTCTCCCACTTCCCCTCAGTAATTTTCAAGTAAGGAGTTAGTGCAATAGCTGCCTCATTGAAACGTATTTTGCTGGTATTCAGTTATAATGTCCAGTATGGTGTTCTCTTTAAATGTATGGATTAAACAAATTGTGTGAGGATTTTGAGTTTCTAAACAGATTTTTTGTTTATTTTTCAAGTTATGTTTTTGTGGTCGAGTTATATTGTGGTCAGAGAATGTGGCCTGTGTTAAGTTGAGTTTTTAAAACTGTTGAGGGGGCTGGCCCTGTGGCCGAGTGGTTGAGTTCGCGTGCTCCGCTTCAGTGGCCCTGGGTTTCACTGGTTCAGATCCTGGGCGCAGACATGGCACCGCTCGTCGGGCCACACTGAGGCGGCGTCCCACATAGCACAACCAGAGGCACTCACAATTATGTACTGGGAGGATTTGGGGAGAAAAAGCAGAAAAGCAAAAAAAAGATTGGCAACAGTTGTTAGCAGCTCAGATGCCAATCTTTACAAAAACACTGTTGAGATGACCTAGGCCACCTATAGCATCAATTTTTAATAAATGTTTCATGTGGTCTCGAATATTCCTGTTCTTTTTATTGAACGAAAGGTGCTAAGTGTTTCGATCAAGATAGCAATAATAGTATTTGAATCATTTGTATCTTCTTTTTTTCGGCTTGATGTATTAGTTATTTAGAGAAATTTGTTAGAAATCTCCCATTAGGATTATAAATGTTTTCATTTGTACTCATACTTCTCAGGTTTTGCTTTATATATGTGGAGACTATGTTTTTATGGTTGTCTAGCTTCATGATTGTTAAATTATCTTGTTGGATAGTTCATTTTATGAGTAGCAAAATTTCTTTTTAAGCGCTGTTTATTTAGAATGTGTGATCTTAATAATTAGCTACAGCAGCCTTTTGATTGGCACGCTCCTGGTACATGTTTTCTTCTCCTCGTTTTTCTCTGTGTGTGTTGCTTCAGGCATGCGTCTGAGGAGCGGGACCTGCAGAATTGTCAGCCAGTCTGAGAGGCCCGTTCTTCAGTAGGTGAGTCCCGTTCACATTTACTCCGAGAACACCTTTAGATGTCCTTCTGCCCCCTGCCTTTGTGTTTTCTGTTTGCCCTGCATCATCTCTGTTTTGTCCTCTGCTCCAACCGTCTATTCAGTTGTAGCTTGCTTTGTTTCTTTCATTTCTCAATCAGTTTGGAAGGTACATGTTCCATATCTGTCCTTTCAATGGTCACTCTTAGGTTAATGCATCCTGAAATGAATTTTTCTGCAAAATGCTAAAGTTTATCACTATTTTCTGTTCCTCGTGAACTAGATAAGAATGTTAACATATTTTAATTATCCTCCGAAAATTTTTTTACAACCACCATGTCAATTTTATATAGTATTTTAGTTTCACTTTTTTTTTTTTTTAAAAGATTTTATTTTTCCTTTTTCTCCCCAAAGCTGCCCGGTACATAGTTGTGTATTTTTTAGTTGTGGGTCCTTTTAGTTGTGGCATGTGGGACGCTGCTTCAGCATGGCTTGATGAGCAGTGCCATGTCTGCACCCAGGATCTGAGCCGGCAAAACCCTGGGCCACCGAAGCGCGCGAACTTAACCACTCGGCCACGGGGCCAGCCCCATCTCCTTGCTTACTTTTCTTCCTTGCATTGCATTCCTTCCTCTAGAGCTCATTTTTCTTCATAAAATACATTCCTTTGCTACTTGTTTTTGCTAGAGTTTGTAGACTTTATAAGTCCCAGTCTGTTTAAAAGCGTCTTTATTTCACCTTCATTTTATTGGAATTCCCTAAAATTCATCTGTAAATAGGTACAATAAAGCCACCTTACCCACTACTTAGGGTTACTGGGGGACTAATAACATTTGTTGTAAACACTTTATATATAAATTGTTTCATCTATGTATATGTGTGTGTGTATAATGCTGTTATTAGTAGCTAATGTAAATCCTGTTAGATTTATATTAGAATTACTGTATTTTCAATGGATTTTAAAAAGCATTCCTTATTATAATGAGATAATATTTGCTGAAATAATAAAGAATAATACTTAATAGAAATGTCATGAATTGTACATGGTCGCACTTTGGGGGGAAGAGCTGGGATAAGATCAAACTCAGGATCCTCATGCTAGCGATGGGTGACTGCCGTTCAGGGGGACAAAGGCAATACAAATCCAAGTGACACAAAAACAAAAAAGAATGAAAGCCCACGGAATAGAAACCATTGACATATGGGGGCGCTTCCTTCCAGACCCCTTGCTTTGCACGGGTGGCACTTTGGCTTTATAGAATCTTATCTTTCCATCGTTCAAAAGGAATCATATCTTATACATATCAGTTTTGCGTCTGCATTTTTCACTTAGTAATATGTCAGGGGAACACAGACAAACCTCATCGCATAGAATGAATAAGTATATGCTGTGGTATGGATGTATCATAGTTCTGTTTTACCAGTTCCCTATTGGGAGCATTTAAATCAAATTTTCCGTATTATAAATTATGCACAGTTGCCTGATTATTTCTCTAAGCTAAATTGCTTGGTCAAAGTATTTGTATATTTAAAATTTTGATGTTTTCAAATTTCACTCCAGAAAGTACACAAGAATGCCTTTTCCCCTCACACATACTGAGTATTGTCACTCTTTTTTCCTTTAATTTGCCAGTTTGTGATTTTTGTCAGTATCACTGCTTGTGAGTTTGAACATCTATTTTATGGATCATTTTTAGTTCTTGAGAATTTCCCTTTTGGCCATTTATTTTCTTGTAGGGTTCATCTTTTTAAATTTTTAATCTGTATGAACTCTTTTTTTATTGGGCTTATAAATTCTGTGTCATAAATATCTCAGGCATTTTTTTCCTTTTATTCTCTTTCAGCCTTGTTTGTGCTTTGTTCTGGTTTTGGGTGTTTTTTGCATTTCAGCCTTATTCAAGAACTCCTTGAAATTTTCATTTGATCAAAATTTCCTTTATGGTTTCTAGATTGTTTCCTTATAGTGGAGTGACTGGAAGGTTTTCCCCACTTCAAAATAATTGAAATGTTCGTCCATATTTTATTTCAGTGTTTTTCCAGGTTCATTTTTCTCCCATTTGAATCTTTAATCCATTTGGAGTATTTTTTGGTATAAGGAGTGATATGTCTCAATACCTCTGGAGGTTTTTCACATCCTACTCTGGCTTTTAAATATGGCTAGTAAAAACCAAGATATGAGCCTTCCGAACTGTGACCGGAAGTGAGAGGTGCCTCACTGCCTTTCCATTTGTTAATGTGTCTCGGGTATTTGTGAGTAGAGATGGAGGTGCAGACGGGAAGGGCTGGGTTGGGAAGTGCCAGTTGGTAATCGCACGTCAGGGTTGCCTGCTGCATGTGCGTGTGTGTGTGTGTGTGTGTGTGTGTGTGTGTGGAACAGAGAACTAGAGAGAGGACACCAGAAGGGTGTCTCGTAGAAGTTCCGTGTTTCACTTCTGCCCGTGACCCCTGAGTTCTTTCTGCAGGGAAGTGGAACTGTGGTAGGCTGACGTGAGACGCCCGCTGGCAGGAGAACTCACATGCACATTGTAAGTTGTGCATACAAAGGGCCCTTTTACCGTGATGAAGCATGAGCTCTCTGAGTTCTGTAGACTAGTGGTATTTTAAAAAATTTTTTATTTCCACTTTTGTTCCTAGTTCAGAAAGGAATTGGGGGATGTTCTCTTCCCCTCTGATCTCTAATTCCCTGACCCGTAAGTAAATGATGTTAAGTTTCTTATATATCTTACAGAAATTCCAGGCATTATTTGACGACTCCTTACTACTGAATGTTCAATTGAGGAAATTGAAGGTCTTTCACACAGGAGAAATAAATCAAGAAGGTAAGAAATAGAAATATATTTATGGCTCTGAAATATACTTTTCTTCAAGTAGTAAGAATTCATCAAGATTATTTGTTTAGAATAATCCCTTTTGAGAATAAAAGTCAATTTAGAGACACAAACAGGTTGGGAAAGATGCCAAGGGTCGACCACAGCTGTTGATGACAGCCTGTTTGTTGATCACCCCGCACCGGCCAGATGCTTTGCGTACATTATCACTAATTTGCACTGTGTTAACATCTTCAGTGTAGAGATGGGGAAACTGAGGCTCGGAGAGATTAAATAACACACTTGCTCACCCTGGTTGTTAGAAGATGGAGCTGAGTGTGGACTCTGGTCTCTGCCTTAGAGCCGCCTGAGTTGGGTGCCACCTGGAGTCTCTTCTGGCCCATCCTTCAAAGGCCTTTTCCTCCTCTTGGACTAGATAGTTCCTCTTCTTTTTGCTGCTTTTTAATTTTCTTCATGGGCCCATAAGCAGTAGACATCATAACCACAGTCACATTTTCACATTTAGAAACCATGACTTACAGAGACAGCTTTTACAGTAATATTTGCTGTTTTGAGTTCTTCCCAGTATTGAAGAGCAGCACGGCCTCCATTGCCACACGCAGTTATAAATGGTGCTCTTTTCTCGGGACACCTTCCTTCCATTTGTCTGAAATTTGTTATCATGGGCTGATTTGTTAGAATGAGATGTAAAACTGCCGTCTGACAGCTGGTGTAATGAATGTGCAGGCTGTCGACGGCTGGCAGGTAAGCGAGCTCCTAGGGTTGTGCAGTGTCTAGTAGCCAGCTGAGGAGAAAGTGTAAGAAGGGGTTAATTTATTCCGTCATTCTTGTTCTGGATCTCTTCCGTTTGCGGTTTTTCCAGGGGCTGGCTGTGTATGGCTAGTGAGCAGGGGAAGGGTGGGTAGGGGGTAGGATGGACCCACCTACATTTTTCCTCATATAAATGGAAATAGCATATCAAGTCAGTGTTCCTTGCACTCCTGCTGTAGGCTGCCCTCTGTCTTGCACTTTGACTATTGTGAGAAAAATGTTCTTTGCTAAGAAGGTCATAGAATGTACGTGGAGAAGCAAGACACATATACATGAAACCACGTATACTGGAGAGAGTTTGCTGAAATATTCCATTGCTTTGCATGACTTCACATACAGAAAGCAAGACATAAGAAAGGTTACTGTGGCCAGAAGTAATCAGGGCAGGTAAGACCTGGCCAGATGAGAGGATGAGGAGTCTTGAGATGCTGTCATTTGCACGTGTCAACAGGTGGAAGAGCTGTGTGCCAGACCTAGGATTGACCCTAGGTTGAACCTGTGCAGGCCAGCCTTCCCATATGACGACATTAACATGCGCCCCCCCCCAGAGCAGATTCTAGGTTCCCAGATGACCGGATGAAAGGCCGCCTTCAGAAACTCCTTAGCCGGCCCCTCATGGCATTGGTGTGTCCCCTGCTCTGAAGTCCTGAGCAGCCGATAGGAACAGTCTGTGCTACACTGCATGCCGTGTTTACATGTCACCTGGGGACTGTCTTCTCCTCCCACTTCCTGCCTCCTGGGGTCTCCCTGGTGCCTGGTGTAGTGTGTGGATGGGGAAGATGTCTAGAAAATACTTAGTGCGTGAGTGTCTTTAGACTGAGGCCTGCGATCATAGGGCCAGGAGAGCACTGTGGGATCCCACGTTGTAATCCACCCTCGTCCTCAGGATCTGGAGCAGAGCTGAGGCCGTGGCTGTCACTCCACAGTGACCGCTCTGTGTCTCCCAGCTGTTGTCTTGTCTCAGCTGGAGGTTCTGTATAAAAGTAAGTGTTTTAGGAGATTCTGTCTTGTGATTCTGATCTGGTGCATGGTTTCTGAATAGATTGGAATGGGAAACACAAAACAGCACAATACTGCAGACAGGCCTTTCTAAGCACCCACCCTGCAGACTGAGTGCTGAGTGCAGCCAGTGAGGTCAGATGGGCCTGGGTGGTGTTTAGGGCAAGTAGAAGCTATGTCATGTCTGAGATTTAAATGCCCGACCTGGTTACCCCGTTGGCGTCTAGAGGATTCGCCTCTGGGTGAGGAGGCCCCACCTTTGTCTCACCCCACACCAGCAGGTCGCCATGGATAGTTGTAGCTACTGGGTTTTTCTTACTCTTGATTTTCTGGAATCCATGTCAGATTACACAGCTGAGAAAGACCCTTGGTTTATTGGGCCTCTTGCCTCATCCTTCACGGGCCTTTGTTTTCTTAGCGGTAAAGAGGGGAAGCAGGGCTTTTATGTAGGGGGATTTATTAGAGACATCTTCTAGCCCCTCCATTACTCATCTCTTTCTGTCCCTCTGGTCTTTGGGGACAAAATCATATTTCAACAGTTATTTTAGGTCAAACAGTAAATATTAATTTTCCCCAAATAAAGAGATGTTTTTAAGCTTGGTCTTGATTTAAAAGCTAAAGCACATGCTTGGTTGTTGGTGTCCGTTCTCCTGTAGTTGAGGGAAGTGCCGTAGATCCAGGTCAGGAGTTTGGTTTGCTGTGGAGAGTGTGTTTTTGGACTCTCTCCTTCAGCTGATCATCAGGTACCCTTTGGAAATGTTTCCTGGGTGGTCAAACACTAACTGGGTCTTTGGTAAGTTTTCCAGCAGCTGAGGCTCGCATCCTTCGAGCTGCCGTGCGTGGCCCTGGCTCCGGGGACCACCCTTCCGAGCAGGATGTCGCTGAGATCCCTGAAGTGGAGCCTCCTTCTGCTGTCACTCCTGAGTTTCCTCGTGATGTGGTACCTCAGCCTGCCCCACTACAACGTGATCGAGCGCGTCAACTGGATGTACTTCTACGAGTATGAGCCCATTTACAGACAAGACTTCCACTTCACGCTTCGAGAGCATTCAAACTGCTCTCTTCAAAACCCATTTCTTGTCATCCTGGTGACCTCACACCCCTCAGATGTGAAAGCCAGGCAGGCTATTAGAGTTACCTGGGGTGAAAAAAAGTCTTGGTGGGGATATGAGGTTCTTACGTTTTTCTTACTAGGCCGACAGGCTGAAAGGGAAGACAAAGTGTTGGCATTGTCCTTAGAGGACGAACACCTTCTTTATGGCGACATAATACGACAGGATTTTTTAGACACATATAATAACCTGACCTTGAAAACAATTATGGCATTCAGGTGGGTAACTGAGTTTTGCCCCAATGCCAAGTACATCATGAAGACAGACACTGATGTTTTTGTCAACACTGGCAATTTAGTGAAGTATCTTTTAAATTTAAACCAGTCAGAGAAATTTTTCACAGGTTATCCCCTCATTGATAATTACTCCTATAGAGGATTTTACCAAAAATCTCATATTTCATACCAGGAGTATCCCTTCAAGGTGTTCCCTCCCTACTGCAGTGGGCTGGGTTACATAATGTCCAGAGATTTGGTGCCCAGGATCTATGAAATGATGAGTCACGTAAAACCCATCAAGTTTGAAGATGTTTATGTTGGCATCTGTTTGAATTTATTAAAAGTGGACATTCATATTCCAGAAGACACAAACCTTTTCTTTTTATATAGGATCCATTTGGATGTTTGTCAACTCAGACGTGTCATTGCAGCCCATGGCTTTTCTTCCAAGGAAATTATCACATTTTGGCAGGTTATGCTGAGGAACACCACGTGTCATTATTAATTTGACATTCTACCAAAATCATAGAGAAGGACAGGATACTTTGTGGAAAGTCTTAAAGTTGGTACTGAAAAATCTCCAATGGGAAATTCACGAGCAGTCGCCATGCTGGCTGACGCTGAGCTGAGACTCATGCAGAACTGGAGACTGGAGGCTTCCGCTTGTGGTTCATTTTGACAGAAATCAAGTCAGGCCCTTTAAAGAATGTTCATAGAAATGAAATAGAAAGGAATTTGGGGGGTTTTGTTAATAAAATTAATAGGACCAAACCATTTGAACGTGTCCTTCTATAGACTAGAACTTCTTAAAAGGGTTTTGTTGAGTTATAAGCTTGCTAGTTCATACAGCAAAGCAACGTGGAGTTCTATTTATTGAAGAATCTAGTCAGTTAAGGGGTTTGTGTATGTCTTACATGGATTACCAATTTTTAAAAATAATTCTGTGTAAAAAAACTTAAGTGATACGAAGCAAAATTTCATCTGTTTTTGGTCATTCAGAGAGTACCTCAAGATGTTGCAGTATTTCAGAGTTATTATTTAATATTACTTAGAACTTTCTGGGTGTTTGAATGTTATGGTTGTTTCAAAACTGTATAAACAGAATAGTGAGTCACCCTGTACATCTGAATCTTTTTCCAGTTACTTCACTGGGGAATTAGTTATCGATAGCTCCGTTAATGCGAAGTCGTTGGTCATTATTGTGTATCAGTAATCTCTTGGACTTTGATAAATATTTTGCCGTGGTAATGTAGAGAAGAATTAAAGCAAGAAGATCTGTCTTGTTTTTAAAAAACATAATCCCTGGTGTTTGTAGATGTCGCTTCGTCTGTCTCATTTTTCCACCTGGAAATTAGGAATAATACAGGATGCCAGGCCCCGCGTCTCCTCTTGGAAAGGACTGAAGGGAAAAAGACAAGAGGACCTGGTGACCAGGATATTATGAAAAGCGTGTCAGTTTCAGTCCCTGAGACGGAAAGAAAAGAGTAAAGATTCGAGTCACATTGTTAACCTGTTCCATGTGTTTTCTCCTTCACGGTCAGTTTGAGAATAAAGAGAAAAAAAACCATTCTGCTGCTGCTGCTATTAGTTTCACATCAGGAGGAAAGCTCCGTTTGTGGTTTAAAAGCGAGTGTGATCTGTTGCTGGACCCGCTGGTGGGTCAGAGAGGACGCTCCTTGCCCCCAGGGGGTGTTCTGGGATGGTGCAATTTCCTCCTGTGGCTATTGTGTCGGATTACATGATGGCAAAAGATCAGATCCTTTGGCAGAAAATAGAAACTTGAAAGTATGTAGTCAGCTCTTGTGATACTTAAATATTTATAATTTTCCCACAAGAAAAACTTAATTTCACTTAGAACTATTACAGTGTGTGACTCTGTAACAAGGCTCTATCCATTTCCCTGGTCTCAGACCTGATCCAGTGACAATAAAACCAATTAAATGAAACACTGTGGATCAGCCTCTGCCCTCACTAGTCCCCATTCATGTAGAAGGCGTTTTCTTTAAGACAGATGGTGGTTATTTTTATGGTATGATTTGCTTTGATCTATTTTGCAGAAGTTTATATTGATCTTTGGGAAGCTAACTCAATTTTAGAGAGGACTTTTAAAATAATAATTTTCCTTCAGTTTAACATAAGACCCCAAAAAACTCTACCAGAAGTAAAGTAAGAATAATTGCCAAGTTTCAGAAGAGTGTTCCTTTTCAACCAGAGATTGGTGCCTTAAAGACCTGAAAAGTTGAACGATTATGAAGAACATTACAAGGTTGGGTCAGTGTGTGTTTTGTTTTTAACTCTGTTTCTTGCAGTCTAGACTGGCGGGTGGGAGATGCTGCCTGTGGTGGCGCGGTCTTGGCCGCCGGCCGCCCGCGCTGCGCCGCTGGTCCCGCTGCCCCCGCGCCGGCCGACGGCCGCCTGTGGGCCGCGGCGCCTCCCCGGGGAGGAGGCGGTGCCGGTGGATCCGCTGACCAGAGCGGGGCCCGCGCGCGCCGGTGCGGGGCGAGTTCCCTCCCAGGGGAAGCGGCGCGGGTCGTGTTGGCGCAGGATGTGTGGTTCTCCAGGACGGCGGCGAGCGGCTAGGGGCGGGGATGTCGTCCGCCACCCCTCGTGCGTGCGGGACGGAGAAGGCGGCTGGGGATCCGGGGTCTCCGGCTGTTCCCTGGCTCCACCCTGCGGGGTCCTGGCATCCTCGCGCCCAGCCCGCTCTCCAGACGCAGAGCGGCCGGAACTGAGCTATTTCTAACCAAGTACTTCTGAGTAGGAGGTCGGGGATAAACGTTTCTCTTGGGGTCGGGAGGGCAGTTATTGCAGGAGACACGGGGAGAGAGGAATTGGAAGGGGGCCAGCTCTGAGGGGGCGGGGGATGGGAGGGATGTGGCAGGCAGGTCCTGCCCCCCGCGGTTCTTCTAGCCTTTAATTCGCCAGAGTTAATCTTTACGTCGAGTCAACTCCTTGATTATCCCACGCCTGGTTAACATGGGCCCAGACCGTAGAGGACCCCATCACGGTAGAGGGCCTGTGCCGGCGGGTGCTGGCAGGAGAGACGCACCGTGGGAAACGCCCTGAGAGCCAAGGGGCCGCTGGAGGGAGCAGTCCGTCCCTCGACAGGATGCGCGCCCGGAGAAGGCTGGCTCGTGGGTCTTGTAAGGACAGAGAAGGGCCCAGCAAGGGTGCATGCCATCCCGCTGTATTTAAGGTGAGTGAGAGAGGCGCAAAGCTTGCACTCGGATGGGCTTTGAGACCTGGGTGTGCTGAACACAGCTAGGGGTCGCAGTTAATGGAGTTCATGCACAGTTGACACCATTTCCAAAGGGAGAGGAATCCACACATTGACCTGAGAGAAGGGTGCCCAAGCTGAGAGAAGTGTTCCTGCTGGCTAGAATTGAATCAACTCAGGAGCCGCGGTCCGCTGAAGCTAAACAGAAGCTTGGTTTGGGGTTATTTTGGTGTGATTAATAAAGTGGACAAACTAAATTTACTAAGTACAGAGTCATAAACGGTGGTTCATTAAGGAAGGGGAAGGACAATGGAAGGGACCTTTGCCAAGAAAAGGCTTGGAACTCCTGTTCTTTGATATGAGAGCACCGAAGTTCACTGGGGTCATGTAACTTGTCGAAGGTCATCGTCAAGTCAGGACCAGAATGTTGCAGGCTCAGCTCCTCTGCTGTTCCCTTGCTGCCCTTGAGTTACGTTGGAGGGGCTCAGAAGGAGCTCCCTCAGTGGAGCTGCAGAGATTTCCAGAAAGGATTACCCCTGACCAGGGATGAGGGGAACTTTGAGGTGCCAGGCTGCACTGTCCAAAGGATTTAAGGAAAGGTGTGGCCGCCAGACATCTTGGGGGAGTCACAGCGACAGACAGGAGTCAGAAGATGCCAGTGGGCAGCAGCGAGTGGGGCGTGGGGCAGGGGCTCCACAGTGCTGCCCCTGCGGTAGGGTCCCTGTGGGACAAGTTCCTGGAGCCAGGCCCCAGCGAGAGCCTCAGGGATCTCTGATGACACCACACCAAGCGTGCCGCACGCGCGTTCCAGAGTAAGGTGTGTCCTCCCCACAGGTCGGGCGCAGCGTGCAGAAGTGCCTTGGCCCGTGTGGGAGATGGGCTCGTGGAGTCCAGGGTGCTGGGAGCGGGCACTGGCCGATCGGTGAGACGGCTCCCGACGGGACCAGGGTCTCTGTGCCGCAGGCATGCTTCATTTCCTACAATTTCAAGGAAAGGGTATCCATTGCCCAGAAGAAAAGAACACAGTAACTTTACAATTTTCCAATGACTGATTCTTGCAACCCTGCGGCTGCCTGTAATAGGGAATGTATTTTATTTGCCATTTCAGACCCCAATGCCAGGAACACTAAAATGGGCTCTCCAAGCCCAAGCCAGGCTGCCTGAGTGTGAGCAGGCTACGCTGAATACCAGCTCTGTGACCTTTAGCAAGTTACTTTACCCTTTTTGTGCCTCAGTTTCTTTACCCACAAAAAAGAGGGCAATGATGTACCTCATAGTGTTATGGCACAAAGGGCACGATGTGCTCACCATGAGACAAGCCAACAGTCAGGAGTCAAGATGGCGGCAGAGAAAGAGCATTTTACTGCAGCTTGCCAACAAGAGGAAAGATGGCCGACTACTGTCTGAAAGAACCATCTTAAGGGAGCACAGAAGCGTGAAGCAGTCATATAGGCCAGTGGGTTACAGGGGAGGGGTTAGGAATGTTGACCTTCTGGTGTGACAGATGGGAGTCGCCACACCAGATCCTTCAGTTGTCATTGATCATGGCTATCAGCATGGAGCGGGTCATCACATTCCTAAGGAACTCAAAAGGATGAAGTTCTTGTCTTATCGCAGCTGGGAGGGATGTGCCCTAGCAGGGGTCACAGAATCTACAGAATGGGTGGATCTCCTGGAGGGTGCAAATCCAGCTGGGTTAGTCAGGTCATTCAAAGTTACAACATGGTTTCTTTTATACAATATGGCTTCCCTTATGTCAACCTTGTGTTGAGCCGGTTTCAACAGGGCACAGAGCGAATGCTATGTAACTGCTAGTTATTATTGTTATTAATGAAAAGCTGCACTTGGGCCTCGGAAGTCCTATTTCAGGATCTGTCACAGAGTACCCACACTTCATGCTGGTTGGAGAAGGCATTTCTCTGGCAAACGCAGAAGCAGGCTGCGGCCTCTCCCTCCCGGGCCCCCCACAGCTCTCCTGCCTCCTCCCTCACGTCCCCTGCTCCCTGGCGGAGTCTGAACCCAGCACTCGGGCTGGGAAAATGGAGGGAGGAGCAGGAGGCGGCGCAGGACATCTGGTGCCTCCGTGGAAAAGGCCCTGCCGGGGGGGAGTCGGATCAGGCCTCTGGCATCGTGAGGGGGTAACTGGCCCGTCCCCTGCCTAGAGGAGGCCACGGGCCCATCCCATGAGGACTCCTGCGGCCCCGTTAGGACACGCGCGTTCCGGTGCCGGCGCCCTGCGCGGCTGCGGGCTTCAGGAGGGCTCTCCCGTCTCCTGAAGCGGAGGGCCCGACTCCAGCCCGCTCGTTTCGGCCCCTTCCCGGGTGGGGAACTGCCCCAGCCCGCGCCGGGCGCGGACGCTGCGCCGAGGGCCCGAGCTCCCGCGCGCCCGCAGCGTGCTTCGTGGGGAGGGCGCTCGGCGGTGACGCGGAGGATGGGGTGTGCCCGCAGGGGCGTGCCCGAGCAGAACGCGGGAGCAAGGGAACGGCGTGGCCTAACGTCGCCCGCCTGGGGTACGAGGGCCTTTCCTTCGCTGGGGGCGGCTGAGGGTCATGTTTCCGACAGGCGGCCTGGCCCTTTGCCTTTCCGACAATCCCACTGCCTCGGCAGAGAAGCTAGGAGTCTTCCTGAGGACTTGATCAGAGATGTTCATTGCAGTGTTGTTTTTTTGAATTAAAATTTTTCTCAGTGTTCAACATTGAGAACATTGATTAGATTTCAGTGTTGTCATAAGTTTGAATTAAACATCTTAAGAATGATGTTTATGAAAAGTTTTTTTGTCATGAGCCTAAATTTATTTAAAATAAAAAGTCTGAGATCCAAATGTGTGTGTGTAACTGTTCTGAACTGCATGTGCCCCGAAACCGCCACATTCTCGGGCCTTCCTCTCCCGTCCAGAGCCAGACGGAGCCTTTGCGTCCCGGTCACTGCTGTGGGACGCGCGCCCGGCTGCAGCGCTCCGAGGACTCAGGATGGCGCAGCGGCTTCTGATTCCCACGAATCGGTCCATGCCTCCACCTGCTTCCTTCCGTTGCCCCTTCCTGGCTGTGGCCCTTGGGGCCTGTGGCCACGTGCCCTCTCCCGCCTCCTCGTGGAGGATCACAACTCACTCTCCGTTTTTCCCTCCCAAGCCTCACCGCCGCCCAGTCCAAAAGGACCAGGACCCTCCATAGCCCCTCGGCCCTCCCACCTCCCGCCGGCCCTCCCACCTCCCGGCTCGCCCTTACCCTGTACTTGCAAGCCCTGCCCCGTTTTAGGTTATCAAGGAATTGTTTCTAGAATGTCCTCCAATTCAGCGCTCTTTCCGTGTGGCCTTTCAGACGCAGGGCAGGCGGGGGAGGTGAGTGCTGC